CGGCGGTACAGGGGTAGAATGCTTGCCAACCGGGGTTCGATCACCGGCAGGAACACTTCCCTACCTCACTAAACCAGTAATAAGACCGGTTAAGAGGAAAGGTTGGGCATGAGGCCAGCAACCTCCACCCCATAAAACTAAACACCACAGCTACCGAATCTTCAAAGCTCTAGCTTCAAGCCCTTTGCTCTACTGGGAACGCAAAGGAACGGCTGTATTAGATACTTTGATCGGACACAAACTGGTGGGTGCACCGTAATGGCGAGTCGCCCAGCATGGTGGCTTCATTGCAAACGTGACTGACAGAATTCAGTCTGCAGTAAACAAAGGATTAGACACATGACACTATTTAGTGTCCAGTCAAGGAGTAAAAGGTATGTTGAGGTAAGATGCATCGATAATTTTCCTTAGTCATCATGATTTCAAATTTCACCTCCATTGAAATATGTACATCACAAATTGTGAATTAATTTGAAAATTATGTCACTTATGGTGTCACCAGTTTGCCCAATTAGGTAATGAGAAGTCAGATGATACGAACTGATTCGGTTGTCTTAGCTGAGTCAAACAGGATGCACTCCTGATGAGCTCGTCCCCAAATGAGTAAAGTGGCTGTCCGGTGTTAAGATCAGCTAGCAAGCACTATTGGTTGATGTGAGCGGTATTTTTTACTTCACGTTCCCAGTGGGACTTGGGGCTTCAAGCTATAGGCTTGAAGATTCCGTAGCAGTGTTTATTTTTACAGGATGAAGTTGCTAGCCTCATGCCCAACCTTTCCTCGTTACCAGTCTTATTACTGGCTTAGTCAGGTAAAGGAGTGCGTCCGCCGGGGATTGAACCCCGAACCATGTGCATGGTCGGCGAGCGTCCTAACCACTGTGCCACCAACGCACATGTGAGCAGTATACGGCTACTCAATTCAATCAATCAATCGTACACTGTTTTATCCAGATATCTGCACCATTTGTTTCAAGTTAATATTCTGTTCAATAAGCTAATTAATGAATAAGGGAGTCGATTCTATGTTTATGGCACACTGGTTTAATAAACCCATAATAAACAATTGTCTATGAAGTGTGTTGAATATATGCATTGGCTGTTCACCATTTCAAAAATTTCGGGTGTTAGATTGTCGTCACCACCCAACGTCGGTTAGAAGAATCACTGAAAACTAGGAAGCACAGGACAGTCTGCTATTTCATTCCATTTTGAGACTCTTCATCGGTCCACACCCACGACACCACCAGGGATCGAATCTGGAACCTTCAGGTTATGTCACTAAGCTCGTTGATCCCTAGGCCACTTGTTTCGGAAATCAGTAGCGTTATCCTCAAAAGTGACTTCAGTAAGCATCCACTTAACCTTAACTTAGTGGACCCCACTGTTCACAGGTTCTTACTGAAGTCTAAGAAAATTCATCTAGTAGACATCATTGGGCTGGCGATTGATATTCCGAATAGAGGATATTACTGAGTGGATGTGAAATTCATACCTAGGATGATGCTTATTAATCTCGTCAGTGGATTTCATAACAAGCTACACGGCGCTAAAGTTCTAGTAAGTAGGCACTTCATTTGTCCAAAGACAAATGTATGAAATGCTGAGACACGGTTTCACTGCAACCAGAATGTTGGTTCAAAATGTAGAGTAGAAAAGGTGATACATATAATATTTGATTTAAAGGTGAAACACCAGTATACCTAGCTATGCAGAGATCTCCTTGAATCACTTCGCTACTTGAATTTCCACCCGATGTCTATGGGTCACCAGATGCACTCATGCTCACTTTTAATTAGTTTTCAACAGATTACTTAGCATTTATCAGAGATGAAAGGAAAATACCACATAATATATCACAGATTGCTATTTGTTTGAAGGTTTTGGATGAGGGTAATGTATTATGTAGTAATCTCCCCTGAAAATCCTATATAGTATGCAAACTCTTTGAAAGAGATAAAGCTACTATTATTAGTTTTGCTCAAATTAATTCCCTATGTCATGAAATAAGTTATTTGAACAATGTAGCCAAATATTTACAAATTCGGTGGCATAATATATGCATATTTGGTGTTATTTCTCATTATTTCTGTACTTCATTTAATTTTCCAATATGTAATGGATATCTTCTGAAATACCTGCTGTTAATTTTTATTCTCTGCGACTGATTCACTGCTGAACGGGGAGCCGAATCATATTTGAATTGGTTTTATGGGAATACAGTCTTCTTAAGTTTACGTTGTTATAACAATGGTCAAACCACTGAATACATTCCGAACTGAATATCAAGCATCAGCTTTTTCTTATTCCTTTAATTTTCCAGTGGAACATAGGGCTTCAAGCTAAAGGCTTGAAGTTTCGGTAGCGGGGGTGTTTAGTTTTAGCCTCATGCCCAACCTTCCCTCTTTTCCAGTCTCATTACTAGCTTAGCGAGGTAAGGGAATGCGTCTGTGGCCAGGGATCGAACCCCGAACCACTTGAGTGGTTGATGAGTATTCTTCCACTGTGCCACCAATGCTGCTGCTTAGATAGTTTAAAAAAGTGAGCTTTTTCATATTTCTTTCTCTCACTCTGGTATCATACAGTCAAGAATTATCTGGAATCTGAACCCAGGGAAACTACCTTGTCCGCAGTCACTAATGAGCAATGGTAATCTAACTAATGTGATTTCATAATGTACCTTGTAAAAAATGTGCAGTTTCATACCAGACCGACCAGTTTTCTTAAATTATGCATTTCTTATACAGTGGTAATTAGTAGTAGTGTAACAACAGAAGACAAGGGCCAGGCAACAGATCGTTTATTACGAAAAATCAACACGTATTTATAGATTTTTATGTACATTATTGTAGGTCAATGTTAGTAGAAAATACAGTCTGTTGATTGGTTGTTTCTCACACACAGTTAACCTTGCGTCTCTTGTAGCTGTGTCAGTTCATCTATATGTTAATTGTAACCGCCTGTCCACCTTGACCTTTGACCTCAATTACTGTCAACCAATTTGGCCAGCAACCATCTCTCACCACAACATGACTAATATTTGATACATAAACATTGACCTCAATTACTGTCTACCACTTGGCTAGTAGACAGCTCTCACCACACTCGTCCCCCCGTCAAATAGTTTGGACTGAAGCCGGCTCGGTCTTCTCGGTTCTTGGGGCTTTGCTCTGTTGTCTTGCTGTCTGGAATCCCGGCGCTTGCGGATGTCCACTTGTTTAACGGTGTTTACCATTGCGATTGTGTTTGCATAACCCCATCTCAACGTGACCATATATGGTCCTTCCCACTTTGGAAACTGTTTGCCTGACCCTGTCGCACATTCGTCGGTATTTCGCCTCACACTTTCATATGCTGCTTTCTCCCGACCTCCCAGCAGCGTCCCAAGTAACAGCCTCATCGCGAACAGATCTGGAATGCCACTCAACTGCGCAGAAGCCTCGAAGTCCTGCTCGAAGATCCATATGTCTCCATCGAAAGCTGCAGGGCACAGGCTCTCCATTTGTCGGTAGGCAGCGACACCAAATGTAACAACAGAAGACAAGGGCCAGGCAACAGATCGTTTATTACGAAAAATCAACACGTATTTATAGATTTTTATGTACATTATTGTAGGTCAATGTTAGTAGAAAATACAGTCTGTTGATTGGTTGTTTCTCACACAAAGTTAACCTTGCATCTCTTGTGGCTGTGTCAGTTCATCTATATGTTAACTGTAACCGCCTGTCCACCTTGACCTTTGACCTCAATTACTGTCAACCAATTTGGCTAGTAGACAGCTCTCACCACAGTAGTAGCAGAAGGCGAGAGAGGTGTGAAAAATAAAAACTGTTATGCAGTGTCAGCTTCTTTCTCTCCGTTGAGTAGTTTATTCTAAAATCTAATGGCAAATCAAACGATTCAGAAACACGAGCCCTAAAAAATATACAAAGAACCCCGATTTCGCTATATTAGTACATGAAATGTGTCATTTACCAACGCCATTAAGTTTAAGTGTACATGGATTTCTTAGCCTATAATAGATGTTTCGCAAGAACTTCTCTGTATCAAATCACTGAAAATACCCATTGAGTCATAAAGAAAGTAAAAGACAATTCAGCGAAGAAAATTTTCTTTTCGACGAAGTCATCATCAGGCATCAGCAGTATTGCTTTATGCACTAGACAGTTCATGAATTCAAGAATTAACATCGGTATATTCGTAAGTTCCTAAATTCCACAAAAACAGTTTAATGTCATAATTGAGTATCTGTCTTTGCATCCATCCCCAAATGACTCAATTATCATAAGAAGAAAAACTGACTGCAAGTCAAATGAAAGCTTGTCTAATGAGAAAGACAAGCTAATACTTCCGAGTCCAGGTAGATTAGACTTCTTCAGTTATTAATCAATAAAATCAGTATCATTCCACCCGTCTAAGGCTGTTTCAAGTATCCTCAGTAATATATATATATATACACCATTGGCGGCCTGTTAAAAACATGGGCTACCAAACTACTCCAACATTATTTTGCATATGATTTCTCTTCTTCAGTTCGTTTTTATCTATTAAAATATGACCTTTAGTTGTATTTTTCACTCTTGTGAGTATTTAAAGTGTTTATAACCTGCTGATTCAACAATTTCTACTTAGCTTGGGTTAATAGCATAATATGAGGGACACCGTATCCTAGTATATGAAGTATATGAGACAACTGTTTCTGAGCTATGTCGAAATGTACCCCTGAATGTTTTCCAAGTGATTTCCAGCTACATGTCATGCATTTCTAGAAGGAGGCAAAAAAGAAGTATAATAAGGGATTGGTGTGTGGTTCAGGTCGGATAGCATTGTGTCATACGATTTACTGTCACAGTTACTATTTTACTTAAAGATCCTGGACAAAGAGAAACTATTATGCAATAATTTTCACTGAGAGTTCTGTATATTATATGAACACTGTTCAGAATAAAGCTATTGTTGTTATTATTATTATTACTATAAATGATTATGAATTGTCAACTTACTAGTGCACATTCATTCTCCTGATTTATACAGTGTGGTTGGGTTAAATCAGGGCGTTGTTTAAGAAACTTTTTATCTTGTTCAGTCAACTGTGAAGATTAATTTCATCGAATTCATTATATATATACATATATATGCATATATTGTTGGTTTTGTCGATCAGTTTGGTTCATTTGTCAGAGATATTGTATTATGCGCCCAGAGGTATCATCAGTTTCATTCCCACACATGAACGAAGAAGATACACGCATATATATATAAGTATATTGTTTACGGATATTTTTTGATTGAGTTAAATGAACCAGAAACATGTTGATAGGTTTATTTGTCAGCAGAAATCGAGGTATTGATGGTATTCAGTCCAGATGGTTAAAATATGACATAATTTGTGGAAAATTGAGAAAAGAAAAAAAGAGAGAAAACAAACAGGAGTTATATTAGGGTCTTGAATTATTGATTAACTTAATATTAAATATGCGTAAAAAATATGCCTTTCATTTTCGTTTCTTTGTAAAAATTAACTTGTGAAGTGTGTTGTGAACATTTGTCACATAAAATCTATTGAAGCGTTGAACAAAGATGGCTTGTTTTCATTCTCAACTGTGGAACAGATTTAGTTAATTCCATAGTTTTTAATTAACATTTTCGTAAAGCTGTTATTTTTATGGATAAGGTCGGTGTTGGTGTAAAAAAGAGGGTAGATATTTCGTGGCCACCTTATTTGCAATAAACGCTGTCGTATATCTCAAGAAATTCCTATGACGCAACAGTGTTGTCTAAGAATGCAGTAAGATCAAAGGATTCTCTTTCATAGATAGTTAAATATGGAGACTATTAAAATTATTCAAAATAACTCACATGCAACTTAGTTTTAGAGGCAAACAAATCAGTGAGCATTGTCAGGAGTATATCAGGTAAGAACTTCAGATATTAGTGTTTACAAGCCAGATGAATACATGCCAATGTTCACTGCTGTTGTGTAACATTTCGTTCTTACCATTTCGTAATAAAGATAAAAGCCAGTATTAGACAGCTTTTCCGCCACAGTTTTGGACTTTCTGACAGTGAATATCCATGATACTTCCGGGGGTCAACGAGCTCCTCTGAACTCTTAGGATTCTGGATTCGACCCCTGTTTGGGTGATGGGCATGTACTGATGAATAGCCCCAAACAAGGGTGAGACAGCTTTTTAGCACTCCCTGGTTTTCAGTGGTTCTCTAAATGATGTCACAGAGTCGGTGGTTAACTGACCAACCATGCTCCACGTGGTCTGCGGTTCGATCCCCGAGTGATGCATTTCTTAACCTAACTTATCTGTCAGTAAGTCAGGTAAACAGGGATGGTTGGATGTGAGTCAAGAAACGCAAACCCGTAGAAAGAATTACACCACTTCTACTGAAACTCTTAAGTTCAAGCTGTCAGTTCCACTGGGAAAGAAAAAGGGATAATATGAAATTAAAATGATGTCAGCTCGGGAGCAAACTTGAGATCAGTCACATCACTGCAAACCAACACTTGAAAACTCGAATCAGTAGACAGAAAATTTCGTGACAATTTTATGCCATTTTTTTACTATTGTAATGGTGTCAGCTCTATGCAGAGATTTTAAGTTCTGTAATGTAGTACTTAAATTTTTATTTCACTAATAATGAGCGACTTTTTCAAGTCAGTTAAATAATTTTATGACATTTTAAGCTTTATTTCAATTGAATAAAACCGTTGCATAAATTTAAGGGGGTTATCATTTCTTTGTGGATAGAATTTTAAACAGTATTCATCACACATGAACACCTTTTATCTTCCTAACTGTAGTAGGCCGGATTATGCTTGCGGAGCGTCCGTGGGGAGCGAGAAAACAGAAATACGTGGGACCCATGAGAAGACTCTAGAAGACCTTGGCTTTGAGGATGATTTACGTGTAATGTCACACAAACTTGGAAATCTACAGATGAACACCAACAAAATGACAGAAGAAGCAGCAAAGGGAGGAATTCAAGTGAATACAGAGAAGACGGAGGTGACGAAAATAACCAGCCAACCAACAACAATTACCAATCAATATCAATAGGAGAAATCTGAGGGAAGTCATTTATCTAGGCAGCATTGTTTTACCTACAGGCACACTGCACGAATGAAGATTTTATAACCAGTCAAGATCAGAAAGGCAAGGCAGGTCATTATCACCCTAAAATCAGTTTGCAAACCTGTTACACTTAGTATAAACAACAAAACTCGAAATTTCAATACTGATATTAAGTCATTTAGTTCTCCAGTATGGGTCAGAAACTTGGCGCACGCTTCACGAGGAACATTTCAAACAGACTACTGCAGAATTTAATCAACAGTTGACTTCTCTCGCTGCATAAAGATCAGATGGTCGGCCAGAAAGAATTATCCAGAAGAAACTATGGGAGCAAACCAACCAAGAACCTACTACCCAACAAATTTCCTGAAGAAAATTGAGACGAATCGGATACACGCTGACGAGACTGTTGAGTGATATCGCGCTCCAGACAAGCCGAGGAATGGAACTCGAGTGGGAAACGACGGGTTGGGCGTATGTCAGAGGCTGACATGAAGGAGATCGTATGGTAAGGAGATGAGAACTTATAATCGATCGTGAAGTCATCTGAAGAGGCCAGCATAGGATAGAAGCTCTATTCTTCGACAGGAAATCAAATGAATAGTATTATTAATCAAGTATGAATATTTGATCAACCAATTAGTTGATTCATAAACTGGGTTTTCATGCAAGTCTACCTAATGACAAACTGGTTATTTTCGGCCAAAATAATTTATCTTTCTAACTTAAAATAACTCAACTACAGGAGGAACGGACGAGGATGTCAAATCGAGAATCGGGAAGGCGAGAAACACATTCATCAACCTGAAACCAATCTGGAAATCTTCGTCACTCAGCCTGCATCAACAACAAAATTCGGATTTTCAATACAAACGTCAAGTCAGTCAGTTTTGCTATACGGATCAGAAACTTGGCGGGTCACAAAGAATATTTCCAACAGCCTGTTGCAGACCTTTATCAACAACTGTCTTCGTTCTATACTCAAGATCAGATGGCCGGAAAGAATCACCAACAAGAAACTATGGGAACAAACAAAACAAGAACCAATCGCTCAACAAATATGCAGGAGAAAGTGGAGATGGATTGGACACTCGCTGAGGAGGCCGTTGGGTGACATCGCGCGTCAGGCCACCGCTCGAGTGGAACCCGAAAGGGAAGTGGCGAGTGGGACGTCCAAGGGTGACATGGAGGAGATCGTGTGAAGAAGAGTTGAAACAGCATGGGCTAACATGGATGCAGGTGAAAAGTACAGCAGAAGACAGAAGCAAGTGGAGGTGTGCAGTTGAAGCCCTATGTTCCACTAGGAACCCAAGGGAACAATAATAATAATAACTTAAAATATACAAGTCAGTTAAAACATTTCATGTAAGATAATGTTTTAACTTGAGGCGTCGTTTGTTTTGTTAGACCAGCATGTATCGTTTTTTTTTAAATGTTTTTCAACACGAATTATTCAAGGGAAAATCAGAGAGTTGTGGAAATCGTTTCGTTTCTTCAAAAATGTCATTTATCAGTCCATTGATCAATATTTCAGTGCGGAGGCCTAGCTCCTTACAGAACTATATATACACACATATATATGTCTGCCTATGAATGAGCGTATTTCATCGGTTTATGGGAAGGAACTGTGCTGTATTTAGAGAGAAAAAATCACTCCTGATAAAATAACAATAATACAATGACAGTTTTTGTTTTAAATAAATGAAATGCAAAGCCTATAAAGTCTATAAATCATTATTTATTTATTTATATTATGTATGTGATAAAAACATGATTTTCGGTTATTTTTCTCAGGCAAGCGTATATTATTAGTACAGCTAGTTTACTCTAAAGGTGTTTACCCGCTACACACACTGTGAATCTGTCATCCAGTTATTTCTGAATGGAATGCTTAATTCACTGCAACAGAAACTGCCAAGTAGTAACTAGTTTATTTTCTATGCATTATCAGACATTTTGTGTATTTAACAGACACGATAGTAAAAATCTTAAGAAATTGTATTACAGTCTAACAAGATCAACGGATTGTATTTTAATGCATATTGGTGAACATGAAAATAAAACGTTTGGACTATCAAAGTTTACCTAATGGAATGATAAATGTCAGGTTTTGACTAAACAAAAGTGATCACTTCTGAAAATCAATTTTCTATTTGACCATGACATGAATGGCATTCAGTGAACAGTGGGGATTTCATTATGCTGAGTGTAGTGATGTTAATAAACCTTATATATATATATATATATATATATGTATATAAGAGTCGTGTGTGAGGACAAGTGCCCAACAGCGATGGCATTGGTTAGTGGTCGCGCTATGTCGTGAATTGGAAGAAGTTAGAAGTCATGTGCTGGTCATTGGATTGTATCCCTATGGCTTAGGGGTTTACGAGCTCGCTAGCCCTGTAACCAGAAGGTCCTGGGTTCGAACCCTGGCGGTGGGTGCATACTGCTGAAGAGACCGAAACTGGGACGGTATGAAAAGCTGTCCAGTACTCCCTGTTGGTTTTCCAATGGTTCTCTAACCGATGTTAGCTCATAATGAAATTCTGTAACGAATCAATCAAATCCCTACAAACCAATACTTGAATACAAGAGTTAGTTTGTTTCACGTTTGACCACGTGCGTCGGTGGCATAGTGGCAGAATGCACGCCAACCACGCATGTGGCTCGGGGTTCGGTCCCCAACCACGACGCACTCCTTTACCTTGTTAAGCCAGTAATAAGACTGGTAAAGAGAGAAGGTTTGGCATGAGGCTAGCAACCTAATCCCGTGAAAATAGACACCACTGCTACCGAAACTTCAAGCCTCTACCTCGGAGCCTTATGTTCCATTGGGAACGTTTGACCACGGATTGACATCAGTTAAAGAACCACTGAAAACCACTTAGGAGTACTGGAGAGCTGCTGTTTTATCCTTCCTGTTCAGGACTCATCGGCAGTACACACCCACCGTGGCTCGAAATCAGAGCCTCATGGTGTTACTGTGAGCTCGTAGATCATTC